TACCGACACATAAGGCGCTGTAACTCAGTTCGGTGTGATTCAAAACAGATGCATAAACAAAATTTCAATACGCGTTGAAATTGAGAAGTGTATTGACTCGAATTTGTTTTCAAATCGGGTTTTTATTTCTCACATCGGTTAGAAAACCCGTATAAATGAATAATTCATTTAACGCGAAATCAAAATTTGCTGTTTTTTTCTTTATACAGCCCGTTTTTAATTGTATTTGTTATTATAATAAATTCGTATTACTGTTCCTTTTCGGTCCACCGCGGAAATTTATTATTAACTACATGTCGAATAAAATTAACGGAGTTTGTTTACTTTTCAATACGGGTTTATCGAGTGGGGTATAAAGACTGAGGAATAAACGTTAGAAAGAAATACATATGTATGTGTTGAATCAAATCCCCAATAGAACCTGAAGGGAGATCTCCCTATGTGAGGAATAAAAGAGTGCTCCCCTTAACCTGATTTCTGAGCAATAAGGGAGATTTGTCGGTTTTGTACTCCTTTATTACTCGTTTAGGAATCAAATAGGAGATCTCCTAAGCGAGCGACGAAATAATACTCCCCGAGGCATGATTTGGGAGCAATAAACGAGATTTGTCGGTTTTGTCCTCCAGTTTTGCTCGCTTAGGAGCGTAATGAGAGATATCCTAAGCGAGCAATTAAAGAATGCTCCCTGATGCATGATTTGGGAGCAATAAGCGAGATTTGTCGGTTTTGTACTCCGTTATTACTCGTTTAGGATTAAAAAGTGATGTCTCCTAAGCGAGGAATCCAAGAGTCTTCTTTTTGATTGATAGGAGAGCAATACGCACCTCGTTCAAAAGAAATTTTGTATTTTCGAAAAAATTTATCATAGAAAAAAAAACCACAGAAAATATTTCTTATAGGCGCATAAGGAGGACACAATAATCTAATTTGGATAGCACACAGATTTTAATAAAAGTCCGTTGGTATGTACCTCAACTTTTGTTTAAATATAAGTTCTGTGTATTACTTACAAATATACCGTTAAATACCTTTCAGATTGCGCAAATTAGTGTTTGCATTTAAGTGTGACCCCCGGGTTTAAACATCGCATGGGTGACAAAGATGCCAGATAAGAAAAGTCACTTTCACAATTTCCCCGCTTGGTGGATTCCTGACCAGGCAAGCATCCTTGACAACCAGGAAATCATATTCGAGTACATACTTATATGTGCATATCTTATCTTACCGTTTTGTTATTATTACGTTTTACTTTCATATGATTTCTCTGCAATATAATTCTAAAATTAAGCAATTATGTAAGACGTATCATTTATGTTTTATCTGATCTCGTACTTACATCTGTTAAGGTCTTGTAAATTTAGCACAAATGCTCGTGATTAAAAAGTTAAATAAAAAATTTAATAAATAGCAAAATCTATTTGGCTAATTTAAAATGTTCGTTATCATTTCTCTCTTATTACTCCTATAGGAGGCTTTCGGGATGCCTCTAATGGGAGCACTCTCTATAATTACCAAGATTTGGTTATAGGGACCAAGTGGCATAGTTGGATATGGCGAAATAAATATCTAGTTCACGAAAGTCTGCAATTTACTTGAGACCTCTAGTTGGGACAAATGTATATTTGTTAATAATTACAAAATGACTACCTTGAGTGGACAATATTGTTAGTTGAATAAAATCGTTGTTGAGCGAATATAAACAATGCTTTGGTTGATACAAGTTTTCAATTGATTTTGTGAACTTGCTGTAGACTTGAATCAGGTAACCGTTTATTATTGGAAAAAAAGTTTTTAGTTTGACACAAATAAAAATTTACCCCATGGTTGTTGTGTTTACTTTCTTCTTTTATTTGCATATATTAAGCATAAAAAATACATACATATTTACATAAATAGTTACTAGTGTAAATAATACATATGTATATGGTGGTAAGAATTTCCTAAAAAGAAACAATGAAACAGGAACAGTCGTCCGAAAACCCAGGTCAATATCTGCTGGAAGTGCTGGTTCAAGTATACTGCTTTGCTTTTTCCTGGGCTAAATAGGTACTTTCAAATAATAATTCACATGAAATATATATCCACTGTGAAACTCCGGCTGGCA